TACTTGGTTGCAAATCCTTTGCAGTCAATTACAGCCTGAAGTCTGGAATGCATAGACATCACCAGATGCTGGGTTTCATCCCTGGTGATGCTCTGCCAGGCCTCTACTGCAAGTGTCTTCAGTTCCTGCTTGTTCTTGGGGCATTTTCCCTTCAGTTTTGTCTTCAGCAAGTGAAATGCATGCTCAATCGGATTCAGGTCAGGTGATTGACTTGGCCATTGCATAACATTCCACTTTTTTCCCTTAAAAAACTCTTTGGTTGCTTTTGCAGTCTGCTTTGGGTCATTGTCCATCTGCACTGTGAAGCGGCGTCCAATGCGTTCTGAAGCATTTGGCTGAATATGAGCAGATAATATTGCCCGAAAACACTTCAGAATTCATCCTGCTGCTTTTGTCAGCAGTCACATCATCAATAAATACAAGAGAACCAGTTCCATTGGCAGCCGTACATTGCCCACGCCATGACACTACCACCACCATGCTTCACTGATGAGGTGGTATGCTTAGGATCATGAGCAGTTCCTTTCCTTCTCCATACTCTTCTCTTCCCATCACTCTGGTACAAGTTGATCTTGGTCTCATCTGTCCATAGGATGTTGTTCCAGAACTTTGAAGGCTTTTTTAGATGTCGTTTGGCAAACTCTAATCTGGCCTTCCTGTTTTTGAGGGCTCACCAATGATTTACATCTTGTGGTGAACCCTCTGTATTCACTCTGGTGAAGTCTTCTCTTGATTGTTGACTTTGACACACATACACCTACCTCCTGGAGAGTGTTCTTGATCTGGCCAACTGTTGTGAAGGGGTGTTTTCTTCACCAGGGAAAGAATTCTTCGGTCATCCACCACAGTTGTTTTCCGTGGTCTTCCGGGTCTTTTGGTGTTGCTGAGCTCACCGGTGCATTCCTTCTTTTTAAGAATGTTCCAAACAGTTGTTTTGGCCACGCCTAATGTTTTTGCTATCTCTCTGAGGGGTTTGTTTTGTTTTTTCAGCCTAATGATGGCTTGCTTCAGTGATAGTGACAGCTCTTTGGATCTCATCTTGAGAGTTGACAGCAACAGATTCCAAATGCAAATAGCACGCTTGAAATGAACTCTGGACCTTTTATCTGCTCATTGTAATTGGGATAATGAGGAAATAACACACACCTGGCCATGGAACGGCTGAGAAACCAATTGTCCCATTACTTTTGGTCCCTTAAAAAGTTGGCACATATGCAAACTGTTGTAATTCCTACACCGTTCACCTGATTTGGATGTAAATACCCTCAAATTAAAGCTGACAGTCTGCAGTTAAATCTCATTTTGTTCGTTTCATTTAAAATCCATTGTGGTGGTGTATAGAGCCAAAAATGTTAGAATTGTGTCGATGTCCCAATATTTATGGACCTGACTGTACTGTGGTATCTGCTTTAACTTGTTCATTCTCTTAATGCTCTACAGCATGGTTTAGATTCGTTTGAATAGTCCTTCAAAAAGTAAACAAAAGTATATGTAGAGACTTGTGACTCATTTAGGAAGTCTTTGAAAACAATCCTTGTGTTACTGAACACTTAAGTTGTAAGTGTTATTTAGAAAATACAGTAAATGTAAGTTTTTTGGAGTTTTTTTTAACAATGTAATATATTACAAAAAACAGCGCTGTGGTACGTCTGTTTAAAGTTTAAATGGAACCTGGCTATTCCATTTGTTATTCCATTGACCAATGCACAGATGTAAAATTCACGTTTGCTATCAGCAGCATAATACGCATGTGTAGTAAGTGTTTCTGGATACAATAATATCATATCTCCTTTTTAGATTGGCTGTCAGCCAATAGACAAAAAAATAATAATTTCATCTAGTCTAGAATGGACTGGATGAGATAAAGTCATTATATTCAAACTGATTTCTGAAAGTAAAGTTAATGTTTACACGTGTTTCATAGTTGCTAACTAGGGATTTATGGGTAAGGATGAGCTAAGGTTTGAGTTTGGCCCAAACCAATGGGAAACTGTCGTATGACAGCAGGCCACCGACTCAATCAACTTCAGGGACAGGGATGCTGGTGACATCATTGACCAATTATGGCCATGTTGTCTTATTAGGTCAATGATGTCACTAGCATCACCGCCCTTTTATTATGTTTGTTTGTGGGGCATGGAATTCCGCGGCTTCAACTGACAGCAGCCTATGGTCAAATGACAGTTTCCTGCAGGTTTGGGAGTAACCTTAGCTCATCCCTATTTTCTAGAGAGAGCTGAGACATGGGGAAAAGGGCAATAAACATTGTCTATGCACAGAAAGCCTGTAGATTGGATATCAAATGGAATAATAACAATCACTTTAGATCTCCAAGACAATAGGGAGTTCTGTTGTTTCTTTGGGTATATATTGGGCTGATATAACACATTATTAGGATGGAGAGCTCATTTAATAATACAAATGGGAGACACCATTTTTAAGAATGTAAAAGAAACATTTCTGGATGTAAATGTGTAAGCTACTACTGGGCTCTGAGGAAGAGGCAAGTCCTCAAAACGTGTTAGCCTGTTGGAGATCTAGTGTTCCTATGTGGATAGCGATACCATGTGGACCGGACAGTGCTGTTCTTTATGATGAACTCATTTACATTTGTCCTTTGTGAGTATATCACCTATCATTTTTTATCAATAAACATTATTTAAGGTAATGCACTAGGACTGTGCGCCCTCTCTTTGTTTTCTTTGTATGTAAGCAACTACTGCCTGATCAAACAAAGAAAAATGGCAGCTGCCTAAATCAATTTATAACTAATTTACTTTCTTGGTTCTGATGCAGACACACGATGAGAGCCTTCAACTATCTAGACTGAGTCTGGTTGTCTGCAGGGGTGTAAGACTAAGGATAGCCATGCATGTTTAGATTTCTCTTGTTCAGCACAAGGGGCTGAACAAGAGCAGATCAATAGATATCTCCATTCATTCGAAATTGTGTGGATGCAGGAATATGCACTGCTGGGTATTACATTCAGACAGCTGCTGCAACTGCAGATACCTGAACAGTGGCTGCATTTGATAGGATTCAGTCACTGTTCAGCCAAGAATTTTCCACCCAGCTCAGTTGATTTTGAAATCAGCTTTTTTTTTGAGCGGGTAGGTGCTGGCAGGCTTAGTCTTTGACTGTTTCAGCATGAATCTGACAAAATGTAAGCCGTGTATGGCTAGATTGAAAATTCTGTGGTCCAATACAGTATAAGAACTAGGAGGACTCTTTGAGATAACACAGGAAATATGCAGAGGGCACAGGACTTATCTCCTGATCACATCTCTCATTCTGGCTGATTATCTGTGCATGGCCCTGGCTTGTCTCCTGACCATGTCTCTCATGTTAACATGTTAAAGCGGAGCTCCACCCAAAAGGGGATGTTCCTTTTTAAGCCTTTGTCCCCCTCTCCGGGGGGGAGCGAGTACCCAAATTTGACAGGTACCCGCTCCCACTTCCGCTGTGATTGCCTAGGCGATCGGAAGCAGAAGTTGTCCTCCCCCCCACCGTAGTCTTCTGGGACACAAGACAGGTCCCAGAAGACTATGGGGGCATTCACAAAGCGCAGTGCTTCTCGTGCATGCTCAGTGGCCACCCAGCTGTGACGCCGCAAGCTGTCACAGCTGGGTGCCCACACTAAAGATGCCGGTGCCAGGGAGAGAAGACAGCAGCTTCAGTTTTTTTAGCTGCTGACTTTTTTTTTTTTTTTTTCAATTGGAACTCCGCTTTAAGTATAAATTTCTAATTTGAAGCTGAAGCAGTATTAAACCCAAAAACAAAAATGTAATACATTGCAGCTTATCATTCATTAGATGTGGTGGTTGCATTAGGTTTTTTTGTTAGGCTTTTTTATCTGTTTTCACCTGGTGATCTGGACAGTAACACACCTCTTGTATTAGAGTGCCTAAACTCAGGATGAAGGAGCACCAGAAACACTTTTGGGCAGCAGCATTGTCAGTCTGGGAGAAGGGTCGTGTTAGGTCCCTTTCACATAGACATTCCGATCAGGTTTGCCTACCAGCTTTTCAGGTAGACCTGATCGGAAGGTCCATGGAGCCTGTGGACAGTTGGGTGTAAACAGACCTGTGACCATTTACAACCACTTAACTTTGAGTCTGACTAGCTCCAGTTTTGGTGGACCGATTCGGAGGTAGCCTGGTGTAAACAAACAACGGAGCCTGTTTACACCCAGGAGGTCAGCGGATCTGTCCATGTCCGCTTTGCATAAACTGAATGGGCATGGATGTGACAGGAAGGTGCAAGTCATTTCTTCTGATGCAGCTCATTAAAGAGAACATTCTGGGAGTCAGTGCCAAGGTCTTGCCTGTGCCTTACTGTTGTCTGATCTAAGCGATAATGAGTGAGACGAGAGACAGATCACGTGTGAACAGATTGAGATGGAATGTACCCTGCTTGTCTGATGAATAACAGTGGGCAGAAAGTCCTAAAGAAACCTTAATTCATTAGAGTGGTTGTAAGCCCTTACATATACCCAGTAAAGTGACTGGCCTCAGGTGATACACAGAGATTAAACAAATTCTCCTACATAAGTTGCACCAGTCTTTTCAGTCTTCCCTTTTCTACATCTGTTTCAAAGTGCTGAATTTATGAAGCTTGTCTGAGAGTTCAGAAAAAAGGGGTGGAGAGCTGTTGTTACACTCTGCAGAACACAGTGAGGAAAGTTCTGAGAGCTGATTGGAGGGAAGATGCCCCCCCCCTTCACACAGCATACAGGAACAGAACTGAGGCTGTCACTCTGCTGGAGGTCCCTCTCCTATCATCATTTTTCTCTTGGTGTCAGGAAAATTTGTCAGAAGTGGCAGCAGATAGAAATGACACTTGGTGCTCTTAGATGAGACAAGTACACACTATAGAAGGATATGCTTTATTCATATTTCATGTCTAAGGTTTGCAACCATATTAAACACTTTCTGTTTTAGGCTATAATAATACTATATTGATACAAGTATTGGGACACCCCTTCAAATCATTGGATTCAGGTGTCCCAATCACCTCCATGGCCACAAGTGTATAAAATCAATCACCTAGGCATGCAGACTGCTTCTACAAACGTTTGTGAAAGAATGGGTTGCTCTCAGGAGCTCAGTGAATTCAAGTGTTGTACCGTGATAGGTTGCCACCTGTGCAATAAGTCCATCCAGGAAATTTCCTTGCTAATAAATATTCCACGGTCAACTGTTAGTGGTATTATAACAAAGTGGAAGCAACTGGGAACAACAGCAACTCAGCCATGAAGTGGTAGGCCACGTAAAATGACAGCACATGCTGAAGTGACAGTGCGCAGAAGTCGCCAACTGTCTGCAGAGTCAATAGCTAAAGACCTCCAAACTTCATGTGGCCTTCAGATTAGCACAACAACAGTGTGTAGAGAACTTCATGGAATGGGTTTCCATGGCCGAGCAGCTGCATTCAAGCCCTACTATACATCACTAAGTGCAATGCAAAGCATCGGATGCAGTGGACTCTTGACCTCTACCCAATAGAACACCTTTGGGATGAATTTGAGCAGAGACTGTTAGCCAGGCATTCTTGTCCAACATCAGTGCCTGATCTCACAAAGGCACTTCTGGAAGAATGGCCAAACATTCCCATAGACACATTCATAAACCTTGTAGACAGCCTTCCCAGAAGAGATGAAGCTGTTATAGCTGCAAAGAGAGGACCAACTCAATATTGAACCCTACAAACTAAGACTGGGATGCCATTAAAGTTCATGTGCGTGTAAAGGCAGGCATCCCAATACTTTTGCCAATATAGTGTATATATACATGGTATATAGTGGTACATTTTATAACAATGTATTTTTAGGGAGGTCAATTTAGAAAAAACATTCACTACATAATCAATGCTCTGTGCACATATTTTGTGTTGGATGTAGAAAATACTGGCAGACAATACAAAATACAAAGAAAAAAGATGGGTGTTAAGTTGTGGAGAATAGACAAGTTTGGTAAATAATAGTGCAGAAGGACATAGAGACTGCAGTAACTGCACATTCTGTGATCACACAGCATGCTGGACTTGGACTTTGAGACTTATTGCTGTCAGCCAGGCACATCTTTTAGGGCACAAATACATTTAAAAAAAAAGGCAAACAAAAGTTAGTAGTCAGCTAAAGTTGCTGATAAAACATTGCTATCACTGGATATAGAGCAATACCACGTACAGATGACCGAAACCGAGTTAATCAATGATAAGCTAATGCTACATGCTTCCACCGTGTACCTCATCAGAACCAGGGAGAAGTTTCGCAAACAATTAGAACTGAAACGTGAATGATTAAAATGCTGTGACAACAGTGTAATCGGTAGGTTCCTTCTTTTAGGATTTTGCACATTTTTTTTTCTTTCGATGGATCCCTGATGCTGTCCCATCTCAGAAGTAACAAATTCCATATGAAGCTTAAAGTGGTTGTAAAGGCAAATATTAAAAAAAATAATTTTTTGCCATAAATGATTACATTTTAATGTAAACATACATACAGCTGTGAGTGTAGCTCAGAAAAATGCTCCTTTAGCTTGTCTCAGCCCTCCAAAAATTGCTGGTCTGTGGGCGTGGCTTAGGACCAGAGAATAGTAGGCGGAGATGTGATGTCACACAATCCCTCAGTTATACACGGCTCAAGGACATGCACAGTTATCTGACATCTCTATGCCTGCAAGCATGTCTCCTGAGTGCATTCAGTGGAATACACAGGTGCCAGCAACTACAGCATGTCAGCTCTGTGTACACTCCAGGATCTGTGCTAATCAGGAGAAAGCTGGTTGGAAGGGGTTAATGTTAAAAATCCTAGGAATCCTGCAGCCTAAAGTGGCAATGTGGACCAGGAAACATTCTCATGTAAAACTCTTTAAACAGCAATTCACAGGCTAGGTACTGTGAATAGAGCAGGACAATAATCAGCTGTCAGCAGACTTACCTAGATAAATACAGCATTACTGAAGTGATGCCGATCTATGTCATAAATCACTGCTGCTAAGGTCTCGATCTTGTGAAGCAGAGACCAGCAGGGAGAGGACACCCGCTCCTCCACCCCTTTGCAGTGTATTACATGGAGGCTCATGCTGGTCTCGTCGTCAGCATGGCCTGTCACTCACAGGAGAAAGGGAGTGGCGACACCATTTTTCTGCTTGTGTCGGATTTATTCTGTTCAGAAGAGCGGGGGGGGGGTCCCTGGAGAAGGGGATTGCTTCAAGATACCAAACTAAGCTCAAAAGCTTAGTAAAAGTAAAATATAATCATCTGCAGGATTACATTGATTTTTTTTTTTTAGGTTTACAACCACTTTAAGAGTAACTCCACTTTTGTTGAGAAGAAAAACTCCTTTGGATGATCGATGTACATTGCAGGTAACTATCACTTAATGTGGTTCTAAAGGTTGAAGGTTTTTTACCTTCATGCATTCTATACTGCCCCCTAATACTTGCCCTAGCCTGATTTCGATCCAGCAATGTGCATGAGAGCAGAAGCTCTCCCTCTCTCCACATTGGCTGAGACACAGCAGTGCAGTCATTCATTTGCTTCCACTGCTGGGGTCAATCACAGTCAGTGAGGAGGGAGCAGGGGGTGGGACTGAGCCATGCTCTGTGTGTCTCATTGACAAGTAGAGGCGGCTTGAGAAAGAGCATGCATGCGTGCCCTCAGAGTACGTAGCTTGCTCTGCGGGCATTATCCAAGGGGGAGGGGCCAGAAGCACTGGTGAGAGACCGAAGAAGAGGAGGATCGGGACTGCTCTGTGCAAAACCATTGTACAGAGCAGGTAAGTATGATGTGTTTATTATTTTAACCACTTCCCGACCGGGCGTTGTATATAAACGGCCGGACGGTGGCACTGCAGGGTCGGGTGGCCGTCTATAAACGGCCTCCCCGCACCCTGCTTGTGCGCTCCCTGGGAGCGCGCAGCACCGCGATCCGGTGCCCGCTGTGTCCTCCGGACACAGTGAAACACCGATCGTCGGACGGGACCTCTGTACGAGGTCCCGATCATGTGATCACTGATTGGCCAATCAGTGATCACATGCAAAGTAGTAAGCAAGATGTCACTTCTGACATCATTGCTTACTATGTGTGAAATCTGTGAATGATCACAGAGGTCACATGGTACAAGGCTATTCACAAAAGCCTTGTACCATGTGACAAGCTGTGACCAATCACAGCTCACTCAGTTCTTCTCAATGAGTGCAAGAATGCACACAGAGAGAAAGAGAAATGATTGCTTTTACATCCTATATGGGTGTAAAAGCAATCAGTGTAAAAAAAAAAAAAAATCTTCATTACCCCTCACAAGTAGTACAGTGTCACCATGGTGACACTGTACTGCTAGGGTGACAGTATGTAAAAAAAAAAAAAAAAAAAAAAAAATAATAATAAAAAAATAAAATAAAAATGTAAAAAAAAATGTTTAAAAATTATAATTTTTGCTTATAAACTAATTTGGATTTTTTTTTTTTTTACTAAAAAGATAAGGGAAAAAATTTTGGCTAAGATTTATGATGAAATATTATTTATTTGCAAAATTTTCTAAAAAAAAACACTTTTTTTTTTTCAAAATTTTTGGACATTTCATTTACATAGCAAAAAAAATACAAATCCCAGTGGTGAATAAATACCACCAAAATAAAGCTTTATCTGTCTCAAAAAAATGGTAAAAAATTAATTTGGGTATAGTGTTGCATGACCGCGCAATTGTCATTCAAAGTGTGATAGCGCTAAAAGCTGAAAATTGCCCTGGTCAGGAAGGGGGTAAAAGTGTCCGGTCTGGAAGTGGTTAAGATGTGTGATTCAGAGATCTAGTACAATGTAGCATTATTTTCAAATTGCATTTACCCATTAAAAACATGTACTCAATTTAAAAAAAAAGCTTTTATCTTATTTGTAAATAATTTTGCAGTGCTTTGTACCAGAATTATGATTTTAGTGTCATTATAAATTTGATAATTTATAGAATAAAATGTATACTTTTTAGCAGTAGTATGACTAAAAAATAATAACACATAATTTTTTTTGCTAAAAAATTACAGAAACAAAATAAAATGTTTAGAGATAAGTCTAGAGGAAGGTCTGGTACAAAGGATTATGGGCTAACATTGTACAGTAATTGATACTCAGCATTGATTCTGTCTGGCTCTTTCTTCAGCTGAACCCAATTCACTAAATCCTTTTTACTTGGTAACTTGGATGATGTCATAAAGGAATTTCCTGTGTTCTCAAAATGCAGGTGCAAAGAATTTAGGTTCACACTATGTGAATAATAATAAAAGTAAATACATAAATCACTATATGAACTGAATGCAAAAATAATAGTGTCCATACAAATCAAAATTAAATTAAAAAAAAAAGTCATCATAATAAATCCCAGCATATATCTCTTGTGCATCCAGTGAACAACCGATGGATCCCAGCGCTTTAATTCAAATCTTCACCATCAATGTGACAAACACCAGCTGTGTTAATCCTCCACCAAATAGGTAAATTGCAGGCTTACCACAACACAGTGCTGTCTAACAATAGAACAGCAATATGCACTTGTGATGTAATACCCTTCAGGACCTCTCTCTCCAACTTTGTCAGAAATGAAAACTGTACTTCTCCTATCCACCATGGGTCACTTCTGACATCATTGCTTACTACGTGTGAAATCTGTGAATGATCACAGAGGTCACATGGTACAAGGCTATTCACAAAAGCCTTGTACCATGTGACAAGCTGTGACCAATCACAGCTCACTCAGTACTTCTCAATGAGTGCAAGAATGCACACAGAGAGAAAGAGAAATTATTGCTTTTACATCCTATATGGGTGTAAAAGCAATCAGTGTAAAAAAAAAAAAAAAAAATCTTCATCACCCCCCACAAGTAGTACAGTGTCACCATGGTGACACTGTACTGCTAGGGAGACAGTATGTAAAAAAAAAAAATAAATAAAAAATAATAATATAACAAAATAAAATAAAAATGTAAAAAAAAATGTTTAAAAATTATAATTTTTGCTTATAAACTAATTTGGATTTTTTTTTTTTACTAAAAACATAATGGAATAAAATTTTGGCTAAGATTTATGATGAAATATTATTTATTTGCAAAATTTTATAAAAAAAACACTTTTTTTTCAAAATTTTTGGACATTTCATTTACATAGCAAAAAAAATACAAATCCCAGTGGTGAATAAATACCACCAAAATAAAGCTTTATCTATCTCAAAAAAATGGTAAAAAATTCATTTGGGTACAGTGTTGCACGACCGCGCAATTGTCATTCAAAGTGTGATAGCGCTAAAAGCTGAAAATTGCCCTGGTCAGGAAGG